CACTAAATATGGGGACCATCAAAGGAGGTTTAATGGGTTAAATTGAGAATATAATCTAATTAAAATATTAGCCATGGCTAAATAGTTCTTTGATATTCATCTAAAGGCTTCATTAAAAATAGGTGCTTGAGGTTTGTATGATAGGAGATTATCAATTTTAAGTAGAGACAACAAATTTAGGGACTTCATCAGCACTGCTTCAAAGTGTCACCATCGTGTGGAAGTAGAGGAAATGGGCAAAGACATCACTGCCAGGTGAGTGGGTTGGAGATACGAGGTAAGGTTAACCAGGCTTCATGATAGTGATTTTGATAGTTGCCTGGATGGCAAAAAAGAAAGCATAAGGATTAATTTGGGAGACAAATTTGCCACAGAGGAAAGAGTACATTTGGAGCCCAAATTATTTAGTGTAGACATCTACCTTAGTTTTATTCATTGGATATTCATTCTGTTCTCTTATTTCCTTTTCCTGTGTAGACAGCTTCCCAAAGGATAACTGATTATACTTTTTGGATTTTCAATTTCTGAAGGTTATTTTCCCCAGTGTCAAATTTTCACCATAAGGATATATCCTATTTAAATATTTCTTGCAAAAGCTTGGGACTTTGGTGACAGAGGGTACCCTACAAAGCCAGTCTAGCAGCCCCACTGTCAGGTCTGGTCTCTATGAGCTGTCAACTCAGTAAAGGACATTTATGAAGTCTTATCAGATATCTCCAAGGCTTCACTAAATATATTTGCCTGAAATGCTCATATCATTGTAATCCTCTCAACCTGTTAGAGCTATTTAATAGTGGAAGACCATTTATTCAGCTTATTGAAAATTAATTACTTACATTGCTTAGGTTTGCAAGGGGAAATGAAAAGGCAATGGAGAGGTAGCAAGGGAGATAAACCCTGCCCACCAAATTCTTTTTTCCTCTCTTCAGATTACCTAAAGAGCCCCTATATTGAGGGGTAGAGAGAGCCGAAAAATCTGTTCACTTTGCATCTTATTGCATCTTGCAATGCAATATTTTCATAACATTTGGGGAAAGCCCTAACTTTCCAGTTATTTCCCTCAGCCAAAAGTAAGTAACCAAATAGGAAGAATGGGAATCTGTAAAACTGCAGAATTGAATGAATGAATGAACAATCTGCCATCCAAAACCTTCTGCTTTCCATTGACCAGATGTTTGCTTAGGAAATCGAGAGCTTTTGTGTTTTCTCAGTACCTTTGTGAGAAAGATGTGTGGTTTTGCTTAATGAAGCTAGAGGGGGAGTAGAAACAAATTCTGAGTGTGGAGGCAATGGGGGGAGGGGACAATTCTAATATCAGAATTTTAGCTACTCTGAGATTCTACTTCAGTATATTGTAAAAAAGTGGAATAAATATCGAAATAAAATTTTTATTCATATATATTTCTCCTTTATTTTGCCTTTATAGCATACAAATTTCGTTTGACTGTATAGACAGCTCCTTGCAATCAGGGATATAGAGGGAGTGAGACTCTGAGGATAAACAAAATCCACAGTAACCAAAAAAAATGCACTTTATGTTACTGTTTTAAATCCTTTTCTCATGGGGAAAACAACCAGACAGGTAAATGGAGTATTCACCTATCTTTTTGTCTCTGTTTTTACCCATTAGGAGAAGAACTTATGAAAATGCGCTTGGCATTAGGGAGGTGAAGCCCTACAGCCACCCTATGGAATTCTTGAGAGTTGGGTAAAATATGTATTATTCAAGATTTATAATAGGAAATCTCTAATAAGAAATCTTTAAAAAGGCACATTTAGGAGAGCAACCTTGATTTTTTCCTTAAGAACCTTGTCTTTTCAAATGCTATTTCTAATATAATGGTAATACACATTTTGAAGCACGTACTGGACAGAATGAGCTGAACTTGCCCTGATATCTGCAGACTATCACCCAAATTCATTTGCTGCTGTTTTTCAATAAGTAATTAAAAAAGCTTCCCCCCTGAGTTTATCTAGTCTGCTATTGTAGACCATTTGCCATCAACTCAAAGTTCTCAATTAGCTCCAGTGTTGTTGTAATTACTGGATGTGTTTTCAAACAACTCCCAGCTAATAACTGTTGGGATGAAGAGTCATTTTCTCACTATAGACTAGCCTGTGCATGCTCATGCTTTCTGTGATGTTTTGACAATGATTCATTAACCAATAATAAGGCCCCAATTGGAACTATTAGGCATCAGTGCTTTTGCTAGGCTTACCTTTTATTTTGTTCCTCATTATTGTCTTTTCTTGAGTTGTTTTCTAGATAACTCCCAAGAGACTCCTTACTATACAAAACAATATCATGGAGACAGCTGTCATTAAATTCAGCTACTTATAAAAAAGCTCCCTCTTAGAGGATGTTCTTGTTGGAAAGGCAAGATGGAAAAACACCATAAAAAGGAGGCTGTAATAAGAAAGAATACATGGTTTAAAGGTCCTTTATTTACACCAGTTCGTAGAGATTAGGCAAATCAGGCGCTGTCTTTCAATGGCATATATAACATCTGGTCAAATACAGTCCCTCCATCATTCTATCAAGTTTGAAGTTCCTTGCTTTCTAATAGGCAAATTGTTTTTCCTTCTTAAATATCTGAAATAGAAATACTATAAAAATTGATCATTGATCCACTTGGGTCTATAAAAGATTCATGTTATTGTCATTAGTATAATTTACTGTAAAGAAGGAGCAAAACAGTGTTTGTCATTTATTGTTTTTGCAGAATCTCTACCCTGCTTTAGTATCACGGTAGCTTAGGGACATTCTGCTGGATCTTACCATTGTGAGATGACTTGGGGCCAGGTCAAGGCCTATTTTGGTCCATTCTTTGATTTCAACCCCAAGCTTTCAGCAAATATGTTCTATTTATTTAGCTAAAGTCATTTTAGATGCCACTTGTCACTTTCAATATTTATGTACAAAGAATTTTGATGTTCTAGACTCTTATCTGCTGGATGATAAAGACTTGCCTTGGGAGTAAAGATCCTGTGAACTGTCGTTTGACATGACTGTGTCGTTTAACCTGCTTCAGCTAAGTGTGGGTTCTTGACAGGATGTGTGAAAGTGCCCGAAGGATTTAACCAAGCCTAGGCTAACAGAGAAATGGTTATGGGAAAGTTTTTAAATATTCTAGAAAAAATTAAAATAGTATCTTTTATTGGTCAACAACTGAGTTGCCTTATATATTTCTTTTTATATTTACTTTATCAATATAGTAATGAAGTTGCCAAATTGTACATATTAAAAATATGATAAGGTATATAGTAATGTATATTTTTAAAAAGAGAACTTAATAATGGAAGTTCAGGTCCAAAATTGAGATTCATAACAACACATGTTCCTTCTGCCTACACAGAAAAACAAGCACCACCTCTGCCAACAAACAAATAATCAAACAGTGCCATTCTTGGTGTTGAAAGATCCGAGTTTAGACCTGGCTACTCTCTCATTCCTATCAGTAGGCTGGGTGGACTTCAGAGTCATTTATCCTTTCTGGATCTCCATTTCCTCTTCTGAAAAATTGGCAGTTGAACAAGATAAATCTGTATCAACCTCTAAATTCTTTTAAGATACTCTAATAGAAACGGAATATTAAAAAAATTTTACCCTGTCCCTTTAAATACAAAAACATGAAAATGTCTCTATATGCATTATTTTATCTTCTAGAGCTAGTTTAAATTTAAGGCCATTTAGGAAAAAAAAAAACATTCTATCTCATGTTTCTAGAAAAGTCTTCACCATGTACCCTGAAGGATCCTCTTCTTTTATGAACTGTTTTTGGAGCAGTGTGGGCTGTGATTTTCCTGAACTAACTCCTCATGTATGACATGATTTTTCAAGTACCACTGAAACATGACTTGCCAGTTTACTACTTATCTTCGGATACTTATCCTTCCAGACTTTCAATTCTTTTTTTTTTTTTTGAGGAAGATTAGCTGAGCTAACTGCTGCCAATCCTCCTCTTTTTGCTGAGGAAGACTGGCCCTGAGCTAACATCCATGCCCATCTTCCTCTACTTTATCTGTGGGACGCCTACCACAGCATTGCGTGCCAAGTGGTGCCATGTCCACACCAGGGATCCAAACCAGCAAACCCCGGGCCGCCGAAGCAGAATGTGCACACTTAACCGCTGCACCACTGGGCCAGCATCCAGACTTTCAATTCTAATTGCTTCCAGTTTTAAGAGGAAGTTTTGTACCAGGCAGCTTTTATACCACATCTTGGTATATGTAAAATGTATGCAACATAGGCATAAATCTCCAAAGCTAGTCCTTATGCCACCTGTATAGATAAACAGATTTGCCCTAAATTATTGTTAAAATTGTCCATTTCTGGATATGGGCATCTAAGAATGCAATGCCCATACAGTATAAGCAAGTAATAAAAAATTAAATCCTCCAGTAGTTATTTTAAGACTTGGGAATTTTACAATGTTCATTCAGTTTTAAAAGATTTTTTTAAAACATTTATTAATATTGACATTTAGTAGCAAACTGTGGAATGCTTTTGTCTTACCTAATATTTTTTGTGTGAAAGCACACATTTGACAATATTTTAAGATATCTCTGATGGCAAGATGCCCAGCAAATTTATGTACTTGGAGTAAGAAGCTTTGAGAAGGTGTGGCTCGTGGAGTTGCCTGAGTTGGGTGCGTCTGGGCTGGTGGGTGGATTTCTTATTAATCTCTTGATGCTCTGTTGGTATGACATTGGGATTCGTTCTGCCTGAGTAGGCACATCCAGATGGACCTTCATTTTTTTTCAATTTTACATATAAGTCCTGCTAAATTTAGAGATTTTGGAAATGTTTTGGAAATGATATCTCAAAATATACTGATGATTAGTCCAATTTGAATTCATCTTAGTAAAAACTGAAATGTTTATACTCTTTTTTTTTCTTATCAGGAAGTAAGAGAGAAACACAGGTAGGTAGACTTATTTCTGGGTAACTTCAAAGTTTATGGTAAGGAAGGGTAGAGGTCATTTAAGAAATCAAAAGATCCAATATAAAACCAAAAGGCTTTATTCCCTAGTTCTTATTCAACCCAAATTCTAACTGATTTGAAAATAAATAATTAAAGAAAACTTCTTCCTAGAAGGCAAAATGTGGCACCATAATGTATTAGGGCCGCTTATTTTTAAATCCTGTACAAAGTGAAGGTGGAGTGCAGTCAGATGATGATCCTATGTCAGCCCTCTCAATGCAGAGGGGTCGCTTAGCGTTTCTGTTCTCCCTGTCCATTCCCCGGGTGTTTTCAGTCTCCTGCACATACGTTGTCTATACAATGTGAAGGACTTTGAAAGCAGCCACAGCCTGTTTTTCCCTTTCGTGTCTGCTCTGCAGTATTTCCAGCAGTGAGATTTCAGGTAAAGTGTCTTCTTTTCCAGCATGGGTTGGATTTTTCTTTTCCTTTGATGCTTGATCGGTCAGGTTTGAAGGTTTGGGTTTTGGAATGGTCTTAGCATATTCCAAAGCCTAAAAACATAAAGAAAAAAACTTATTTGAAATGGGAAGTGAGCCCTGGATTCCTTAAATTAAATCTAGTCTTAGCAAATGCTTATTGATAATATAAAAGGAGACTTGCTACAATAATGTACTAAGATATGGATGGAAATAGAGACTGCGGGAAAATGCAAATAAGGCAATGTAATGCACGTTTAAACAAAATAAATTAGCCACATCACAATATGCTGTGAAGAAGAGTTGGAAAATGATACGTACAGTTGTACCTTTGGATGTTTTCTTTATAAAACTGAGTTTTATTCAAGCATTTGAAAGTAGATTTCTCCTATGTTTGATCTCTTTTAGCTTCCGGCAGTCTTATTAAAACTAAACTTCTATTAAGGAGATATTAACAGACCTTTCCATCCAAAGAGGACTTGTTATAGCTTGAGACCAAAGACATCAGTGTAGCTGATTTAAACTGAGCCTCCATTATTTCACTAACTATTCTTGTTCCTAGGCTCTTAGAACTCTAGCAAGTATTTATTAGAGGTTGAAAATGATCTTTTCTTTAGTATATCTATAGACACCTGCATACTGAAAAAAAGCAGGGTTTTTTTCAATGATGTCAGTTCTGAAAGGCATCACAATAAAAAGGAGATTACTAAATCTGATTTCTAAATCTGCCTTTATATTAGTTCTATATTGTAATAAGAATTTCTTGATAGCTAAAATGGGAATGGGTAATATATTCAGGTCCTGGAAGGGGAAAAAACTTCAAAACAGAAAAACTCCAGACTTCTCAGTGTGTGTAGGTGACTTCTGTAGGAATTTCTAATTATAGACTTGTTGCCTTGAATCTCTTCATGTAAAAATAATGGATTGGAGAAAAAAGAGAACGTGGCATCATGGAAACTCCAATCAAGTGGATTGAGGCCTTCAAGGTCTGAGGAAGAAAGGCAATAAATAGAAAATGTGATGGTCTGTGAGAGAACATGAAGTACAAATTCCTAAAAGCACCAAAGGGTCACTTGTCCCTCATGCAGAGGGTCCCACGTCTTTACTGGGATGGAGCAGAGACTTGCACTGCAAAGCTCCGTGTCTCCATAGAATATTTCACTCACATCATAACTTATAGCTGGATGACATCTGAGAGGGAGAACATTCTGTATTTTATGAAATCATTTTTCTTTGATTGAGGAACCCACATATTACAATCCCTTAGGAAAAACGTAGAGGAATGAACTTGAGAGAAAAAATGAAGGACTTTCCTTTGACATAGGTACGCATAAACAGCAAGAAGACACTAATTTCTTAAAACTCTAATGGTAGAAAAAGAAATTGATAGTTAATCAAGATGGCAAGTTTCTTCCACAAAATCACCATACTATTCAGTTTTTATGTGTGACAAACTCGAAATACTAGGAAGAAAACGTGGAGGACTAAAGACAATAATGAACTTCAGGGAAGAAAAGGCTAACCTTATAGCCCCCTGTGTGTGTCCTTTTTACATCAATATCTACGAATGATGGGTAGCTGCAGAAATCGTACTAGCTAAAACATCCTACGTTCAAAAAATGTGAGGAACTTAAGTTATGAGGTAACAAAGGTTTCCTTTTAATTCAAATTGAAAAGATAACTGTGTTGGTGAGAATTTCTTACCTTCTGCCGAGGGACAGCAGGCTTAGTTTCAGTTTTTGCCGTTTGGGGTTTTGACAGAATGGAGAGTGTCTTCATGTTGTACTCCTTAACTTGTTTTGCATATTCCTTTTGCTGTTTTAATTTCTGCATCTGCTCAGAGAAACAACGTCCCGGTGACTCACAAGTCCTGTTAGATCTCTCTGTTCTCTGTTTAAAGTGACACGAATTTCAGTGAGCTGGCATATTGTGTCAGCAGCACAGAGGCAGCGGGATGCCCACGCCTGGGGTGACAGCAGGGAAATGGTTAAGTTAACATTTCTCCTGGAAATGGTCTCTCTTGGGGGCACGTCACGGCAATAGCGTACCCAGTGTTCCCTTAACAGTGGCTAAATCATATTCAGCCCCTTCTTGGTTGCATTTACCCAATTTATTTTCATTTTTGCTTCCAACTTTGAACTATACTCTCTTTTTATGCCTTGAGTGCAACTGCAGTTAAAACACATTAAATGAAGATCTCCTTTCACTGGAGGAAAGAGAATAAAGTGGATGCACTTTCATGGGCTGGGAGTCTCTTCCCCTAAGTGTCTTCTCTGTAGCCACTCTTCAGAATTACCAGGATAACTCTATTGTGAAGGGCCAACAACCATGTAACATCCATAGCTCTTTTCATGTGCACGTGTCCCACTTTTCTGTTTGGGCCCTCAAAACTAACTAAAAGGTGGCTATACAAAACAACATTGGCTAAGTAATTTTATTTTATGGTAAAAGGAGTGTCTGGGTCTCTATTACCAATGCTGTTTCAGAAGGGTCTCTATTCAGAGTGAGACATTTGGATCGGGACTTGGTTCTGAGGAGCATCTTTATACAGTTTTGCTCAAAGGGAGATGGGCTAAGCCAAGCCTGAGAATGCTGGATGTACATCACACTCACCTTGTCTCGGATGGACTCAAGGTCAGGTCCAAGGCCTCCAAGTTTCACTTCTCTTTTCTGATAACCTTTCAGCTTGGAACTCTAAAAGTATAAACACAGAGACAGTTTCTTTCGAGAACTTATCTGTCTCCCCAAGTTGTCACAGCCACATAAGAAAGGGAAGAAGGAAAATGAAGAATGGAAGCCTGTGTGGACTGTCAGAGAGTGGGTGCATTTCCTGACAATTCTTCCATTTTAATGGTAGTTATTAATAATAGTTTCTTTGGTAATTTGTAGCTGGTTAGCTAACATGTTTTGACTTTTCCACTTCTGCAATAAAAAAATATTGAAATTATGAAAATTATAAATAAAAAATTCCAAGTGAGTAAAGTGCTGTTTTGTTATTCACATTTTTAACATAACATATACATTGACATATACACGCACTTTGCTGCTGCTGCTATTGCTATTATGTCTAGTCTTGTGCAGTTCACTAAACCAAATGATTTCCCTGGTAGAGGCAATCTAAACGAATCAGGTAAGCACATTGCTTTAAAAAGAGAGCACCCTGTCTAATGATGTCATAATATTCAAAAGAAAGTAAACATTTAAGGGTTAAGAGTCTAGGCAAGACCTACTGAGACACTCATTCAGTGTGCTTTTAGATATTTTGAAGGGTACAAATAATTTTATATAGCTCTTATTAGTATTTCATATTCAAAGGGACAGAGTAACATAATGAGGCAATTTAATTATAAGATTATGACCCGAGCACAGTAAAAGGCAAGAAAAATACTAGCGCTCTCCTGACTGTAGGCTAGATTAAGATATTTTTGAAACTGCTGCTTTTGACATTAAAATTGACTTACTACTTGCAGCCGATGCCTTTGTGGGGAAACCAAATCCTTTTTTCTTTGAGTTTGTGAGTTTATTTAGTTTCCTTCCTTGGGAAGGGTAGGAAGGACAATACCAGAGAGAGGGTTTGGATGACAGTCATTATCTTAGGACATAGCTAAGTTCGTGCTTAGAATGGAGAAAGAACAGCCATCCTGAAGACAGGGCAGTTCTGTACTAACTGCGCCGGACCATGTGTCTGTATGCTAATGATAAGGCATGGTTTTCCCCTACATTTCGAAAGCTCCTGTTAATTATTAAGTCCTCAGATATTAAGTATATCTGATGTGCCCTTTCCTGAAAGAGAATTTGGCAGACATAGTCCAGAGACTTAAAAAAAATTTCATCATATTAGTTACTGCATATAACTCCCAAATCTTAACAGTGAACTTATGCATACACATTGTATCAACCATTACAAGAATGTGTTCTACTCACAGTGGCCTACTGACTGACTACCCAGAGGTCATACCCATTAGCTTCTCCATTGCCATTCCCACTGTAGAAGCTCAGAGTCAATACTCTTTGCCTCAGCGCCCCAGCAGTGAGCTGTGGCCCATGAGGTATGAATGAAAATTTGCTGGAGTAGATAGAGGGTGCATCTTGGAAAGCTCTTATTCGGGCTGGCATGGCTTCTCTCTCTTCCCTTTTTCTTGCCTTGAATGTGGATGTGATTCCTGGAGCTAGAGCTGCAGTGGCAACCTTGCAGCCAGGAAAGAAAAAAGGAACAAGAGAATCATACAAACACTGGTTCTGATGTTTTGAGCTATAAAACCACCAGTGCTAGCAACTATCTACTTGTGAATTAATTGTATGTAAGAAGAATGAACCCATATTTTTGAAGTTGCTGTAAATAGTAATTCTGTGATTTGTAGCTGAGGGCCATATTTCTATGGTACTACAAAATTTCTATGGTACATCTTAGCGCTCCAGAGGGCCAAAATCACATGTCATTATGGCAACACTTCTACACTGCAAGGATTAAAAGTTCTGTAAATAGAATTTGCTCCATTAGAATGTTAAACATTTACAGTCAAAACTCTTTCAGTGCATTTAATTCTAAAAGGTGAGAGAAAATCTTTTCTTAAGCTTTTGGACTAAAATCATTAAAAAATAACATATAGAAGAAATATTGTTCATTGAAGGCATTTCAAAATCATAAATCTCCTTCAAGAAAACAGTCATCACCCAGCAAAACCACATAGCTGCTTCCTGCCCTTTAGATTGATCTGTTCATACTTTTATAAAGTTGTCATAATGCTACAAATTATTTTTTTTTCACTAAGCAGTTTAGTATTACACTCTATTTCCCTGTCACTAAATGTTTTTTGAAAATGTAATTTTTTATGCCTAATATTCTATTGTCTAGTTACAGTTGAATTGCTCAGCTATTCCTCTAACTGTTGAACATTTAAGATGTCCTAGGGATGAGCATTGTTTGTGGGCTACTCTGATTATTTCTTTGAGAAAATTAAGAGAAGTGAGATTGAAACAAAATCATGAACATATTTAAGGCCATTAATGAACACTTCCAGTAACAATGTGTAAGAATGCCCTTTTTGTCCAAACCTTTATTTATACTGGGTATTACCACATTTTAAAACTTTGCTAATTTTTAATAGGTGAATGCACTCAGATATTGTAGGCTTTGCAATTGCAAATTTGTTCTTTGTCTGGCATATGCCATTTGTACCATTGTTTGCAATCTCTAAGTTACTATTTGCCAAAGTAAACCAACAACAAAAAAGAAAGCGAACCCCAGTCATATCCAAGTCATAAATCCAATTTGTCCAAGACTGATGAGAAAGAAATGATCAGTGCCCAGAAATCACCTCCTTAGTCTGAAGCAGCTTAACTTGAATCATTCCACTGACTCACAGAAGGTACGCTGTGAAGCATGAATAATTGCTCATCGCTCGCCAGCCACCGTTCTTACCATCACCTCAAACGAACATCGTGGCTGTCAGAAAAACAGAGCCGAGGGTCCAGCGTTACACACTGACGTGAAGGAAGGAGCGTGGCACAAAGGGGCTATCCCCAAATGCCACTGACCCCTTTACGGGATGAGCTGCTTCTAGCAGAGATGTTTCTCAAGGGCGAGCGATGGCTCCTAACAGTGTTCTGGGTGACTGGCAATGAAAAATCCTGGATTTACTTAAGTTTGGCTCAAATAATCTTGATTGGTTTACAGCGCCGCAATTTTGTTTGATCTCTTTCCATCAAAAGTCTTTTTAACAGCTTTATTGAGATATTTCACATGCCACCAAATTTACCCATTTGAAGTTGTACAATTCAGCGGTTTTTAGTATATTCATTGGGTTGTGCAAACATCACCACAATCCAATTTTAGAACATTTTCTTCCCCCTAAAAAGAAACCCCAGGCCCATTAGCAGTTACCAAGCTTCCCCCTCCACCTCCAGCCCTAGGCAACCACTAATCTACTTTAGGTCTCTTCAAAAGGCTTTTATAATAAAATAAGCCCTAGAATTTACTTTGATTAACCTCTCCTTGGCTGTTACCAGACTAAAAGGTCACAATAGCATAAAGAAAAAAAAATTTAAATCAACTATGATAGTCCCACTAGGTCTCCAAACACAGGGGAGAAACATAGGCACGTTCTCAGCAAATCCCTGACGGGTTCGCTGCTAGTCTTTGCATAAAACCCACACAAACTGACACCCACCAGCCCCGGCAGTAGCTGCGGATTGCTAAGAACAGAGCTGCCCTCTGAGCTGGTGCTCACCATCCATCTCTTCAGCAGAGGATGGCACGGGGCTTTCCTGACGGAAGGTTTCCGCTGGTAACTCATGACACTTCTTCTCAAGCCAGAAGAATGATTTTTATTGTAACCTTGGGGCCAAGTGAGCCTGAACTGAAAATGACATTGTCCCGTGAGGACTTGTTTCAACTCTGAAATGCCATACCCTGCTGTGAGCGACACTGCAGGGCTTTTCTCCAGAACATTCTTCAGATGTGTAAGTGTGAGAAAGTTACTCAAATAACAGGACAAAAAACAATGCCTCAAATACCGGGGAGCAGCAAGTGAAGGAAATTTGCTCTGCAGTTGCTAAACTTAATCCCAATAAACCTCTTCTTAGAGGCAGTCAGGCAGCAATGCCCAGATTGTCTGTGACAACAAACACACGAGTTAATTACCGCAGCTCAGCTCAACACGGTCAGCTGTTAGGGAACGCTTTAAGCAGTTACTTTTGGAGGCTTGTGATGGATATTTTTGTACTGTTTGTCATTCCTTGCACCGTGTTAATCTCTTACAGCCTGACGTCGGGATTTAATGGCATGGACAATGCTCAGTATTCATAAATCAGCCACAACAGAACTTCCGGGAAAGGAAGAATGGTTCTTGGGCCTATTATCTTTACAAATCCTCAAATTTTTAATATGATTGAAGTCGATTCCCTTGGAAACCACGAGATTTGCTGTGACCAGAAAATGGGCATGACCTGGATAATGATTCCCTCTGTCTGGTGCCCCAGCTACCTGCAGTCCTATACAAATAGCTCAGTTCTAAATCATTTTAGCTTCTGGAATAGCTTAAAGGACAAAGGGTGCTTCTGTGTATTTGTCAGCTGTAGGCGGAAGGTGTTGGGCTGAGAAAATGGATACGTGTGGATTGTAACATTCCTGAAAGAGCAGGGAGGGAGGGATTTTCCACGTTGGAGAGCCGGTTTGGGAAGCAGTAACTGGAAGTTCTCTTTCTTCCTCTTCTCCACCCTTCCGTGCTCTTAGATTTCTGGTGATACACACTGTCACTGGGATACTTTCCTCAGTAAAACATGAATTCTAATTACTAAGAAAAAGAGGAAGGAAAAGGAAACTAACATTTAGTTAATGTCTATTTGCTAGAGACTAAGCTAAGGTTTTATACATTATTTTGTTTACTTATTACACCAAATCTACAACAGGAAAGAACAATTCTGATGATGCATATGAGGAAATAGGGACTTGCGTGAATTAATAACTTGTCCAAGTCAGAGAGATATGAGGTGACAGAGCAGAGATGAGAACTTAGGAATGGCTGGATCCATGACTTCCATTAAACTCTGCTCACTAAGAATTGAGCACAAAAGCTTGCATTTTCAACAACTATCCATAGTTGGCGAGAACCCTAATCCAGAAGGTTCTTTTCTCAGGTAGTGTGTTTGAGCTATTTTTTAGGCCCTGGTAACCCATAAGTTCCGGAGCAAATGGGCTGGCCTCACCTTGAGAACGTGTCGGTTCCAAAGCTCTGAAAACATCTCCCTAAAGAAATAGTAACATGCATGGTGTCTGGCTTCCTCGTCTAGTCTACAAAACCTATTTTATTTATGCAGTTCTTGAAAACTGTACTAATTGTACCTCAGAACCTAACTACCATGTAATGATGTTTCTGTGAAAAGAGAAGTTACTTGTCATCCCAGAAACACCTTTCTTCTTATTTATAGTGAAACTGGGGATTATGTCAGCTCCAAGCCACTAGTAGTGGTTTCCACGGCCTGGGCAAGCATTAGGGCCCCCGTTGGAATGGAGGATATGAGTGAGTGGAATCAGAATGGGGAGTTCAAGGAGCCCTCAGGTGGGGGTATGTGAAGGAGCTGAGGTAAGGACTCCAGGGTTGTGAGTGAGTGAAGACCTGGGCTGCAAAGGGCTCCAAGGTGAGAGCTGCAACTGTGGGCTGGGGTGTTTCATATCCAATGACTTCTGAGGTCATGTCTCATGCCAAGCCAGTACATCTTTTCTTCTCTTTAATATGACCCACCGTCTATTTGAGACCAGCTTCCCCATCTTTTCAAGGCCACCCTTTTCTTTTTTTTCTGAGGGCTCCACATGAGGGTCCACTGACTTCATAATCTCCTGACTTCTTGGAACATTTTGCATCTGCCCTGCACACCATAGCCAGAGCAGTCTTTCTAAAATACAAATCTAATAATGGTTAAAATTCTTCAGTGGTCCCCACCCCTCAGCCTAGAGAATAAAGCCCTCCTTCTTCGAATGATAAACACGATCCTCTAAGATGTGGCTCCTACTTACTTCTCCACCTACATCTCTTGATGCTCTGTGCCTCCCCGTTCCAGTGACAGAAACACCAAAATGCTGTCAGTTCCCCACATGCATCATGTTGTCTCATGCTTAAGAACATTTCACGCTGGTCCCTTTGCCTGAAAGGCTCTTTGTTAACTCTTGATCATCCTCTAAGACGCAGCTCACAATGATCTCCTGAAGCTCTGCTTGACCCCAGATTGGGATGTGTCCTCCTCTGTGTTCCTCATGCATCTCTCTCTTCTTTTTTTTAATTGCAATATTATCCTGAAGCCATTTACATGTGTATCTTCCCCAGTTCCTCGGGATGGCTCATGGCTCATTCTCTTTACATCCCAGTACCTACCCCAGTTCCTAGTAGGAATTCAACAAATACATGTTGAATTGAACTAAGGAAGATTTCCTAAAACTGCCTTGTTGTGGATGCCCCTCTGGACCAAGGCACTCATTCTCCCAGCTGCTGGGAGTGTTGTATGCTACGGCTCACAGTTGAGTCCCTCCCTAAGAACTGCCCTCAGCCAAATGGAGCTGCTAGGCCCAAAGTTACAACCCTTCCCCAGGGGCAGTCAATAGCCAATGGCTGGTCTGTGTTGGGGAACAAAGCCTGGGTCCCTTGACTTTGAAGGGCCATCCCAAACTCAGAACCCTTTTGGGCTTCGTTGATGCTTCTGCTGCTACTGCGTCACGAGCGCTCTCTCCCTTGGCCCAGCCCTCCCTACCTCAATCCCTTACAGGGGTGGTTCTGAGGCCCTGCTTAACAACCCTCCTGCACACAAATCTCCATTTCATTTTGCTCCTGGGGAAACCAACTCACCACAGGTCTATTGCTTCCAACCATGCCTTTCCCTATTGCTCTGTAAAACGGAATGCATTTCCAGCTTTTTTCTTACAATTTGATGCTAGAAGCAAGTGATCTTTCCTGAGGGGTTTTTATTGGTTATAAGAGTAGAGAAATACAAAGGACATAAAAAGACTCATTCAATGCTCCTTCATGTCTTCCTGGAAAGATTCCACTTTGCCAAACTTGCCGCCCCCCCCCCCCCAATTTCCCTTATTTAACCATATAGATCCTATGGGAAAGATTTAAGGGTACAAAGGTGCTAGTAATGGGGAACCTTCTTGTGAACAAAAAACCCGGTAAAGGTTAGCAAACATTTCAGAAGAAGGCTCAATCATCAGCTTTCCTGGGTATTTTACTGCAGGAGCTGAAGTGAGAATAGGGCCGAGAAGAGTTGGGGGCGGGGGAGTGATGGATGGTGGGGAAATGCAGCAGCAACAGGGGCTTTCGCTCACTCAACCCTACTTTCTCTTCTTCTTGGATAGAGAATGTGCCTGGGAGACAGCCTAGACTGGGAGTGAGGTGTGGCGTGGGGAGCTTTCCTGAGGATGTGATGTTTATGCTGGGGACAAAAGGAAGACTATTGCCTCTCAGCAAATGTAGATGCTTCCCTGAGATGAATCAGAAAGGGGACGGAAACGGTGTTCCTGGCAGCGACAACTTCCAGGAAGAAGAGGAGGGAAATTCCAGGCAGTGGCAGGGACGCGAGTAAAGAAGTTCCTTAGGCCTTGGGCCACCCGGTTGTGGCAGCAGCTCAGTAACGACCATCCTATTCCAAGGCTATCATAAGGGGAATGGAAATCAAGGCCCATCTGTATTCTCAAAATTAAAAGCTTACTTGGTAAAATGCTTTTATTACCTTAATGCTGCTTCTTTTCCGATGCTTTTTTCCTTTTTCCAGTTGAAACAGATAGCCTTCAGAATTGCTACGACTAATTTTCATTTGGTTTCTCTGGCTTCTCTCTGAACTGAGTTGAGATTCACTTTCCACCCCTGATGATATGGGCGGAAATGTGACGCTGGCTAAGGCCCCTTCACTGGGCTGCACCTCGGTCAGCTGCATTAAGGCTTGCTGATGCTGCTGCATTATCTGCGACAGCCGGGAATCTGGAGAAGCTCTAACAGGTTGGCTGTCAGAGGAAGAATGGAATTTCCTTAGCAGAAAAAAAAAAGCACAAACCTGTTAATAAAACCTGAATACGTAAGACTTCTAGCACGAAAGTCTTTATGAACCATATATTTGATGTATTTATCACAGCTCAAATCAAATTAATGAACTTTAGCTTAATCTTTTCACACATTAATTTCCTATCTTAAAATTCCCTGTGACTTTCTATGGGACAATATTTGGGGTTCATATTTACCTACATAATCATGGAAATCCAACACCAAGAAATTAATATAAAAATGATCCCAGAGGAGGGGTACCTCTGTACATCCGGCAGAGCAAATATAAAAGTTCTCTGGAGGGATACTCACCTACCCAAGCCTGCTAGATTTCTATAAACATAAGTTCACAATCCAAAATCCCAGAATATATGAAGAAATAACCTACCAGGTAAGGGAGTCAGCAGACACACATGCACACGCACACACACACAAAAGCCGTAGTAGATTTCTAAGAACTTCAGATAATAGAATATTAGATAGCATTCATAAAGTAAGCACGTTTAAAATGATTAAGATGTGAATGAAGAAATCAAAACCCAGAGAAACATATTTTGAAAAAAGAACAAAAAAGTTTTAATCAGAGCCATATAGAAATTCTAGATATGGAAATTACCATCATGGAAATTTACAACACAATGGGTATATCAGAGTATATTGGACACAGCTGAAGAGAGTTATTGCACTGAAAGACTTATCAGAGGAAATTTCTCAGAAGCTCAGAGAGATAAAAGATGGAAAATAAGAAACAATTAAAAAGACACAGAGTCTAGAATAAGAGAATCTAATATACATTTCTTTGGTGTTCCTGGAGGGGAAATAGAGCAAATCTGGGAGACATAATACCCAAAGGGAACATGGGTGATAATTCTTCAGAATTTATGAAAGAGACAAATCCTCAGATTTAGGAATCACAGAAGAGTCACAAGCAGGATTAAAAATTTCATACTTAGACATATCACAGTGAAACTTCAAAACACCAAAAAAGAAAGGAGAGACTTTAAAACCAACGAGAGAAAAAAGGTGACAAATTAAATACAAAAGAAATGATAATTATATAACAAAAGACTTTTCAAAGAAACACAGAAGCCAGGAGATAGAAAAATAATGTTTTCAAAGAGTTTAATTCTTCACCAAGTTAAATTATAATTCAATATAGAGAGTAAAGTAACGGAATTTCAGGTAAGTTCACGGGTGATGCACACGGGCTGAAAGAACTTCAGAAGGATCTACTGCAAGAAGAGAGAGCAAAATGAAAGAAGGAAGGGGAGGCAAAGACATTAATCAACAATTAGTGAAATCTCAAACAGCACCGATTTTGTACAGCAGTAATAAAAGCAAGGATTAATTTTGGAGCTATAAGGTCCTAGACAAAATGCTGGACCAAAATAATAAGTGTAACAGAAAGGATATCAGATTGAAACAATTCAATGATTTTGAATATGTTCTGGAGGAGAATAGAAATATTAATTTAACACCACACTACTTAAGTATGTACGTTAAAAAAATAGAGAATACGTATTTCCAAATCAGAAGAGGGAAAAAGTAACAAAATTCTTATCAGTTCAATAGAAGATATAAAAAAAAGTGGTTAGAAAGGATAAATTAAGATGGTAGAAATAAATCCAAATACATGAGTATCACAAAAAATGTAAATAAAGTTAAAAATATGCACCCCCAAACAAAATAAAACAAAGCCAAAGAAAAAATACATGACCTAAATAGTTTTATAGGAAAATTCCGTGACACTTTCAAGTAACAGATAATTCCACTTGTATATGAAGTGTCCCAGAGGATACAAAAATGGGGCAATATTCTCCAACACATGTTATAAGGCTGGTATAACTTGATAACACTTCCAGACAGGGCCAGTGGCAGACAGGAAAATTTAAAGCCAGTCTCAGTTCATGCATGTGAATGTTAAATTCTAAACAGTGTTAACAAATCAAATCAAGCAATTTATTAAAAATACAGTGTAAACTGGATTAATCCTGGGAATAAATGGATAGAGTAACATTAGGAAATCTGTTACTATATTTAGCCACATTAAAGGATTAAAGGAGAAAATTTTTCAATTGATGCAGAAAAACTATTTGGTAACATTGAATATCCATTTATGATAAAGCTTCTTTGCAAAGGAATAGGAATAGGAGGAAATTTACTATCTCCCTATCTACCAAAAATTAAATTTTATTCTTAATGGTAAAAATGTTAGCAGCACTCCCTCTAACGTCAGGAAAAAAGACAAAGATGCCTGTTCTCTCTCTCTCTTCTAGGAAGCTAACTCTGAACCTTATAAAATGTACATTCCATACCTCCAAGGGTAGCACTTACATGTCTTTTGATTAATTCATGTGTGTACAACTTTCTCCCTAGTTTGAAAGTAAGCTCCTGGAGGGTAGCCATGCGTCATATTACTTTTGTATCTTCTATAGCATTCCAGCACTATATTCAGCACACATCAGGTGTGTAATAAACACATTTGATTGAATGACATCAAGATATGTCCCCTGAAGTGATCTTTAAAATAACTTTTCTTTTTTCTGATTATAGAAATAATACATCTACATTGTAGGGAACTTGAACAATTCAGAAAGTATAAAGAAGAAATGAAAAATAACCCCAATCTCTCTTGCCAGAGATTACCACTATTGACATTTTCGTTCATTTTTCTTCTTCTGTGCACATTTTAACATAGTAAAGTTCGTACACCTTAGGTGTAATTTTGTACCTTACTCTTTTCTTTTAATAGAAGTGTTTCCTCATAATTATAATTTTTAATGGTTACATGATATTAAATGTCAGAATTTATCTAAACATTTCCTTATTGTTGGTCAATATTCCTTATTGTCATTTCTATAAATCATATTTTTGTACATACATACTTTTCTATATTTTAATTATTTTCTAGGATAGGCCATGACAGTGTTAGAGATAATTTGTTTCCCCCAAACGTTGCTTGTAACCCTCAAGCTATACTGATCTTTTTTGACTGGGTCCCTCTGTCCTTCTCCCCTCCCACCAACCTCTGGTTTAACTATAATGGAAAAAGTAGAGGAGACAGGGAAGAAGAAAAGAAAAACGTCACAAGTGGACTATTTTAGGCAGAAATCAGAGCAAAAAATGTTTTTAGGTGCATTTTCCCCAGGAACCCTCCCCACCCCACCTGCTTTTCTCCAGCAGTCTCTCATTTCTCCTCTAGAAAACCACTTTAGAAAAGGGAATTCTTACCATAATATTTCTAAATTCTTATATCTTGTCTCTGTAAAAGTCTGTTTGGGTTGCTTCTTCTTTTCAGTTGATCCATTCACATTTATGTTAGAAATAGGCTGAGAGCCTTTCTGGCTCAGGGGCACTTGTCTCTTATTAAGTTCATTAAGGTAGTTCAAGTTCATATTGGAAAGAGTGTTGATATGTAGCTGCTGATATGAAAATCTTTTCTCTTCTTGGTCTTTGCGTCCTCTTTCTTTACTAACATTCATCACCAAGTGATATCCAGGAGAGTTTTTATATAACACTGTGTCAACAGCCTGCTGTGGTGGAGCAAATTTATGGGAGGTGACTTTGGGATCCTGGCTCCTAGGTGGACTTGAGTGTTGTAAATCACTGTTATGGGCATTCATAATCACAATTGTTTCGTGCTTTACTGAAGTATCAATAGGCTTATTTTGGTTTTGTTGCTGTCTGGGAGTGTTATTCTGGTTTCCTTGACTGACAACCAGCTCTTCAGTCACCAAAGACTTCTGGCCAGGCTGGTGTCTATGCTGTTTTCGAATCTTAGGCTTGGCTGGTCTTCTGGAAGGTTGCTGGCCATTGGCTACTTCAGAAGATTGACCTCTTGGTACATTGCTTGATTTTGCACTTTCATATTGAGACCAGTGTTCCTGGTAATTCTAAAAAGACATTTTTGATTAATGTAAAAGTAAAAGATGGGCACTCTTTCCACATTTTAAATTAGTGTTTTTTAAACTGGGAGTTGAGACTTCTAGGAAGGTGATCATGGAATTGAAAGGGGACAAAGAAAAAGTATGGAGGGTCCTTTTCTAATTTCAGGCAATGAGAAGGTGACTAGCTGAGTGATTCCTCCTGGCAATTTCAGATTATGAATTTTCTAGGAAGAAATAGAGAGCTTAGAATGGGTTTTATATGAAGGAGAAGTCTTTGACTTAAAATGTTGTAAAATGAGGGCCAGGTAGGTGGTACAGTGGTTAAGTTTGTGTGCTCCACTTTGGGGCCCAGGGTTCGCTGGTCTGGATCCTGGGTGCAGACCTAGCACCAAGCCATGCTGTGGTGGCGTCCCACGTACAAAACGGAGGAAGACGGGCACAGATGTAGGCTCAGGGCTAATCTTCCTCAGCAAAAAGAGGAAGATTGGCAATGGACGTTAGTTCAGAGCTTCTTCCTCACACACACACAGAAATGTTGTAAAATGAAGTGCTCTCAAATGGGAAAAAAGAAGCTTTATCTCCTTTAAAGAGCTACTTACAAAGAAAGTGCAAATCTGCATCAAAATACACAAGTTTATTTTAACTAAGATGAATATTAAAAAAAAAATCTTAGCCAGAAACAGCATCAATGATTTGCTTTACCAACCAAGTACAAGTTTAGTATGAAAAATAATTCAGATTATCGGATCTTCTTACTCATATAGGTCAGAAGCTATAAATGACCTCTTTACCAGATGAAACAAATTAGATGTTATTCAGAAGATTATAAGAGTCCACACTGTGATAGGACATCTGTGAAACCATAAGTGTTGTTTGGCTTCTCTTCCTTAATAGAGCCTATACTTAGGCAATCAAACATCTGGGAGAAATATTTCAATTTCAGAACAGTCTTTATGCTTTTCAAAGTCTTGTAACAACAAAACATACTCCTCGTATAATGATACACTGTGTAACTATATTGTGCTAAGCCATTTAGAAATATTTTCCAAGGAATAAAGCACTCATTACTTTGTGAAAAACTAGCTGAGATAAGAGGCCTTTGGAAAGAATGATTAAATGCCCACTGAAAACAGTAAGATGACCATATGTATCAGTGTGTTATATAACTGCAACATATTTCTTCCTTTCTGAACACACATCTTATAAAAAATATGGCCTGTATCTATGCAATGTTAACTGAAAACTGCAAGTTACCTGGATCATTTGAGAAAAAAAACTTGAAGTGAATAAATCCTGTTTAGCTCAAATGGTTTGTTTTAGCTTGCTAAGAAGAATGATCAAACTATTGCAATGTGTTCAACTTTTATTTTACTTTTCTGATTTGATTGCTAAGACGCATCCTATTTCTGTGTAACCTTAAATGGTATTCTATTTCTAATGAAATGAAATTTAAAACAGTAATATACAATATTTTTGTACCAGAGTTTTAAGTAAGAATGGCTTATAATTTGAAAGTTAGAGTATGTTCTCCTTAGAATTTGAGCTTTCTGGAGGATTGGCCAGGTTCTGGTTAACTCTTCTAAACTTTAAATTTTTACCTGTGGTGCCAAAAAAGAAAAACTTTTTTTTTTTCAATATTTCAAATAAGAAAGGTTCTTCCTTCCATACAGTATACTGAGCTACATGGGGGAACTGTGGACAAATAGATAGCCCAAGAGCATCCTTCCCTGTAGTGGAGCCAGAATAAAATTGTTGTTTTACGATCTTATAAGTGTGTTTATGAAATACGGTGGCTCTTTTCACGGCTGTCATCACCGTTCATGAAGGTCAAAAAAGACCCCCTTTGCTATGATCTATAAATCTTTACTGTTGCTGATCATGTCATTCTTTTCAATATTTGTTCAGCCTTTTAATTTCTAGAAGAATAACTGGCCATGAGCTCTTTTTCTGCCACCATCTGACTGTTAACTGTCCCAGTTTTCTCTCCTCATTCCCACTAAAAAAGAAAAAAACCTATCAGGAATTTTTCTCCTAGGGTACCAGACTTGAAATCTTGGGTTACCCCTTGGTTTAATCCTGTTATACCTTTGCTGCTGACAATTCAGATCACAATAGTACTCTTCATGGGGCGCTTTGTCAACAAGGCCAAGGACTCATCATTTTATGAAACTTCAATTGTCTCAAGTGTTAAATCTGCTATTCACGTAAATGTAAGTGCGAGATGGCATTTCAGTCCCCAGAAAGGAAGACATTTATGGGCTTGATGTGATTTCTCTCACCTTCCAAGCAGCCTACTTGAGATCTGTGGGTTACTGAAGATTTATTACCCTACAATTGAGGCATCAGGTGTCACTCTTTAGGTGGCAAGACCTGAGTCCCCTGAAGTTAATATACAAAGCCATTCTCAGGCTATTTAATCTCCATCAGCACTGAAATCCTCTATTTCATCCTGCTCTCACTGGGGTTCTTTTGTTACTAACACTCACAATCAGTCCATACTGCATGCACTCAGAGTAACTGCTTAATGGCAGTAGGTTTTCCTGGCACACACAGAGCCGGGTCCTTTGGCTGGAGCATTAGCATCGGGGAATCCTGATGCATAATTCTGGGACGATAATTTCTTAGTAAGACCTGTCCTTAGTTATTAATGTTTGTTCATACTGTGCCATCCAAGGGAAGTTCGCCCCCAACCCTGTCAAAGACAGCATCCGGCTGTGTCTCTTTTCCAGCTTCCCTGTTTACATGGCATAAGCAGAGAGGAGAATGTGTGCTCTGATCTCAACCAAAAAGTTCATCTGCTTTAAAACAAAAGCTGTTCTTGCCCTTAGTGACCCTGATCAACCCTGGAGTCGTGAGGGTTGTGCCTGGCTCCAAGATCGGCTCTGAGGTAGAGAAGTTTCTGTTGTGTTTCTTAACAATAACACACAAGTACTTTGAGTTTGGGTTATAAATTCCATCTGATAATATTAAGAAAATTTACAGCACACACATTAACTGGCTCTAATGCTCAGTATCAGTAAGGAAGGACTGTGTTCAGATGAATAAAACAAGCACAGCACTGTTGACAGTGTTGAAGGCAAAACCAAACTTGGAAAGTGGGAAGATTACTTGGGATGTGATTACAAGGACTTTGACATTAACTAGTCAAAGAGTGAATGATTGATACTGTCATTCCTTTTCCTTGCCTGGAAAGTCAAGACTTATTTTAGAGTGGCAAGAAAGAAAACGTCCTATTTCATCCTTTTGAAACCTTATTTAAATGGAAAACTTTTGTCTATTGAAAACATGCTCCTCGCCTGGAAACTCAAGACTTATTTTAGAGTGGCAAGAAAGAAAACATCCTGTTTCATCCTTTTGAAACCTTAATTAAATGGGGAACTTTCTATTTTGTCTATTGAAAACACGCTCCTTGCCTGGAAGGGTCTTCTGCCCTTTGGACATGCTTCCTTGCACTGGCCAGCAAGGGTCAGACCCTTTGCTAAGTACTATGTCTGGTTCTGGGTACACGACGGAAGTGGGATTTGGAAAACCTGTTCAAGATTCACAGGAGAGCACACAATGATTCAGGAGAAGACCTATGTGGAAAGGTAAAGTGAAGAGGGATTAAGACACGTAGAAAATGACGATGATGACCATCAATTCTCAGTATTTTTAAAATGAAACTACATAGGCTTAAATTGTCTCAGGCACCTTGTTTCTGGCATATCTTCTTTCTTTCTTTCCTTGCCCTATCCCTAGTTTCTCATTCTTTCTAGCATGTGAATGTGTTTAGGTCTCTTCTATTAAAAAAAATGAAAGAATCCCTCACTTGATCTCATTCACTGGTTAAACTTCATCTCTTAATCCACAGCCAAGCATCTTAAAACTGTAGGCTACACGGGTCTTCACTTCCCCATCTGTCATTCTGACCTCGACACCCACAGTAGAGCGCTTATTCTCACCACTCCATGGAAACGGCTCTGCTCGGGCCACCAATGACCTCTTAGTTGTTAAATCCTGCTGTACCTTTCTCTGTAACTTTCTATTTTTTCAAACTTACCCAAAAAATGACAAGAATAGCACAGAGAACTCCCAAATATCCTTACCAAGCCTCACCAATTTTTAACATTTTGCCACATTCTGTCATTCCCTCTCATTTCTTCATATATAGATAGACACACAAAGATACATATGTATATCAGTTATATTATTATTGTTTGCATTATTGTTTTTAGTTTTTTATGGACCATTTGAGACTTGCATATATCAGGCCCCTTCCATGGCACCTTGCTACTTGTCTTCTCTGCAGAGTTTGACCCTGTTCACTGATTGTTCTTTCTTGAAATTTTCATGTCTTAGGTTCCATGACATTATTTTACTCTGGTTAACTCACTGCCTCTCTGGCAATTCTTTCTTTCTTTCTTTTTTTTTTTGAGTAAGATTAGCCCTGAGCTAACTGCCGCCAAGCCTCCTCTTTTTGCTGAGCAAGACTGGCCCTGAGCTAACATCTGTGCCCATCTTCTTCTATTCTAGACGTGGGACTCCTACCACAGCATGGCTTGACAAGCGGTGCCATGTCTGCACCCGGGATCTGAACTGGCGAACCCCGGGCTGCCAAAGTGGAACGTGAGCACTTAACTGCCGCGCCACCAGGCTGGCCCCTGGCAATTCTTTCTTTTCTATTTTTTATTTTTTTTTATTTTTTTAAAGATTTTTATTTTTTCCTTTTTCTCCCCAAAGCCCCCCGGTACATAGTTGTGTATTCTTCGTTGTGGGTTCCTCTAGTTGCGGCATGTGGGACGCTGCCTCAGCGTGGTCTGACGAGCAGTGCCATGTCCGCGCCCAGGATTCGAACCGACGAAACAGTGGGCCGCCTGCAGCGGAGCGCACGAACTTAACCACTCTGCCACGGGGCCAGCCCCCTGGCAATTCTTTCTTAATCTCTTACCTTCTGCTCTCTACCTCTACCTCTGTCCACCCTTACAATTCCACCTCTCTCTATAGGGCCCTGTTGTTGACCCTTCTCTCTTCTCCCACTGCCTACAGTTCCTGGGGCATCTCAGCAATTCCTACAGCTTCAATCCACCTGTGAATTCTTATGACGCAAACGTACATGGCTAACTCAGATGTCTCTCCTGAGTTCTATGCCCAGATAAGATACCTTCCTCCCCACAGGTACCTCGAGACTCAACCGCAGGCCCACGATGTCCTTGTGCCCTCCCCTCTTACAGCCCCACACCAAAGCCCTCCTTTTTTCCTCAGTGGTATTGGCAACACTTTCAGAAACCATTCTCTTTCTCTCTTCCCCATTTGCCTTGTATTTAAGCAATTGCTAAATTTGTTACTTCCACTTCCTGACCATAGGCAGCAGCTGAGGGGGATCAGGTGCTGACCTACAAAAAGTTTAATCCAGTGGGTGGAGTAAGATACATCCACCAGACTGAAAAGTGAGCCAACGGTACGTGGTGTCTGACGAACACAGAGTGAGCACTGCCACCTTTCTTGTCCCCTCATCATCTCTTGCAGAAGCCACAGCAAAAGTCACCTTACTGGTTTCACTGTCTCTGCATCTTATTCCCCTCCAATTTATTCTTCAGATCATGGCCAGAAGGAATTTTCTAACACACAAGCCTGATTATGCCATTAACCTTCTCAAAATTTATAATGGCTTCCTGCTGTCCACAGGATAAAGTCTAAAATCTTTTGATTGACATAAAAAGCCTTCATGGCTCCCAGCTAACCTGTCCAGCCCCGTGTCACCTGCCTCCCTGTCCTCATCCTTTCTCCTTTAGTTACGGAACTACATGCAATATTCAGGACATACCACCTTCTCCCGCACTTTCATACCTTCACCCCACTTGTCTGCTTGGCATGTCTTGATTCATCCTTGTAGGGGCCACTCAAATGCTGTCTCTTTTTAGGAGACTTTTCCTGTCTTTTTAGGGCAGAATTAGATGGTCTGTTAGTTCCACTGCATTTTGTTTCTGCTTTCATAATATTGCATTATAATGATTACGTGTAAGTGTCTTGCCACTAAAGTTTTGAGCTCCTCGACAGTAGGGACTTTTTTTTTCTTTTTTTAAATATCTTTCATCGAGTTTTATTTATTTTTTTCAAGAGTTTTTCTTTTTTTAACCGTGTCATTTGGGTCAGGCACCTAACCCCAGGGCCTGGAATACGGTAGATACTCAGTAAATATCTGTGGTGTGAATTTTAATTTTATATAAAGATGTTTCTTATTAGCGAGAGTTATTCATCGTTAGCGTAGGTTTACTGAGGGATATATAGCTTCTTTGAAAGTCATCCTCCAAGAAAAAAATTCAAATGAGGCCCATTTTCACTTGGAGATTCACTAAATGACCTTTAAATAATGTTTCTTTAATCAACCAGTAAATATCGATTGAGCATCAGCTTTCGGCAAAGCATCATGCTAGGAGATATAGAGAAAAATACAATGGGGACCTTCAAGAAGCTTACAGTGTAGTTGGTACAAGAGAAACACAGGCAGCAGCTAATAAGACATGGGCAAATACAATCAACCCTGAGGGAGTGGTCCAGACCGCAGGCACAGCAGGAGCTGAGAGAAGGGGCAGATGACAGGGGGAAGAGACTGGGAAATCTTCATGCAGGAGGGGGACCAGAAAGAAGGCATAGGATTTGGGTAGTTGAAGAGGAGAAAGAAAGGCAGCCTGAAGGGTTTGCATGCCGAGTGCTGGCCAGTGTGTGTGCAGGATGCAGCGGGCAGTTACCAAATCCTTTCTGAATAAAGAAAGAGGCCACTCTGTCACTGTCATTTACAGCTAAGAATCTTTAGATGTTTGGCTCCTCTCTGTCTTCATTCAGGATTGGGTTGTAAACAAATGAGTTCTGGTACACACAGAGGATAAACAGCATTCTTTTCACTTTCCTCTGATTTTTTCCATATGAAGTTTTTTACTGCCTCTGTCTATGGCCATGTCATGAATAATCAGACCTTGATGATTTTATCATTGGCTGAGAATCCTACAATTTTCTGTAGTGATAATTATGAAGCTATAGTTTGCAAGACTCTTACATACTTCGAATGTGTTTTCTATAATAATTAAGTAACTAGAGATAAAGATCATAGAATCATATAGCATTTTGCAGCTGGGATGGACCTTGTAGTTCATTTGGCCAAACCTTCATTTAATAAAGAAGAAACTTAAGGCTCGGGGGAAGTTGAGATTTGCCCAGAGTCATGCATGAAGTAAATGGCAGGTGAAGGCCCAGAAATTCATGTCGACTAACTCAGTCCATTACCCATAATGATGACAAGCCCCAAAGTGCTCCCTTTGTCCTCTTGATCCTGTTGGCCAGGACGAGCCCTGGGCTCTCCATTAGGTCTGGTAACAGATCCTGTCCTCTACATCCCACTGCCATGAGACACTTCAGTGCCCATCCTCGCCGCTTCTGGGTGTGGCCCCCTTGGCATCAGCTTTCAGGAAGCTCTGGGTGAACAACCATTTTTATTTCTTTTTTTGTGACTCTAAGAGTAGCCTGGAGGCCACTGCGGACGAAAAAAGAAGATTTGAGCTGTTCCTCTCTTCTAACTTCTCTAATTTTTATTCTTATATTTACCACTGTCTATAGTTTTAACTGGTGACGTCAACAGGCTCTACAGTCTAGGTGATTTCCAAGGGTTCATCCCTTGTTAAACAGGATAAAACCTGGTCCAAGAGTGACTGCTCCACATAACTCCATACACTCAGCTGCTAGTACTTTTCCTCTTTCTTCTAGAAAAACAGTCAGTGGGGACAGTTTCACAAAAATCTTCTCTAAAATTACGTTATGACTTCAGAGTAGTGAACCCATGGCCAAACAGAATGCCATCAAGCTACATTATTGGGTTCCATCTGCAGAGGAGAGTTCAGTGAGGCTCTGGGGCTTCCGCCCATTTTTAGGAATCGTGTTCCCCATCACCTGGGGACACTATGTAACCACCAACTCCAAAGGGAAACAGACTTGGGAGTGGAAGAGAATTGGACAGTGTTTTGGAACTGTGATTTTTATCCTGCATTTTCTCCATGCCTTCCTTCTGGGAGGAGTTTCAACTCTGAATGTTTAATGAGCGATATGATGATTTTCCTCTAGGAAAAACAGGTAGGGCTGGCTGAGCAAGCAGTGGCCCATCTGGGCAGAAGCCAGTCTTAGCCATAGGAAGGTGGGTAACTATTTTCAGGCATAAGAACAAACCCATAAGCGATGAGAAGTCAGTTGTAAACATTACTTATATTCAGCAGTAACCCTTGAAACCCATTTAAAATTCACTCTAGCAGGTAACCTTTAGCTGTTGGGCTCTTTGATGCCATTTGTCTTCAGGATCGATGGCTGCATTTTCAATCTCTTTGGCATTCTGAATAGATGTCTTGTCAGTTACTCTGACGGGGTAGGAGATCTAAGAGGATAAAACATAGATAGCATGTTAACTGGATTCCTGTTAGTCTTACAGCCATGGGGCTCAAGTCTGTGTACTTGAGAAAGAGGTCCTGCAGGGCTGCGTTTTATTTTCAGTTCACTTCAAGGATTCCTCTCAGTCCTCGGGGACCTGGATTGTTCCCAAGAAAAAGGGGAATAAATAATGTTTCCTCTTGCAGGCGTGATGTGAGAATTGGTGCTTTGAGGTCAAACTATTAATTACTTAAAATGCTCAATACATACTCAGGGGACCCAATTTTTAGAACAGTTTTCTGAGCTGGATGCTACAACTAATGTTTGAGTATGTCAAATGAAATAATGAGTATGATAAAATAACACTATACTCCAAAATGATAGTAACAACAATAACAGAAATAACAATATCTACTATACAGTGAATGTTCATGGTATGCCAGTAGCAGTCCTAAGCACTTAGCAAATAATATACCTATTAATCCTCACAACAACCTTATCAGGTGCATAGTATTATTAACCCCTTTCTGCAACTGAGAAAACTGAGGGACGGAGAGGTTAAGTCACTTGCCTAGAATCAACAGCTGTAAGTGGTGAGCCAAGCAGTCTAACTGCAGAGCCTGCATATGTAACAATTCTGACTAACTCACTTATTAGAAATACTATCTTTGACTTGCAGAATTTGTAGTTTTGGACCCAGTGAATTTGAATGATGTAGAGTCTCAACTATAGTTAGATATTAGAATAACCTAGGAAACTTTTCGAAAATATCAATGCCCTGGCGCCATCCCAGACCAATTAAACCAGAAGCTCGTGCTTTAAAACCTCCTCAGGTGAGGCTCATCAGCGGCCAGGTTTGGGAACCACTGAGGAAGGCAGCTAAATGGGATTTAGGTCCTCAAATTATTCACACGAGTTAGGTTCCCAAATTATGGAGGCCCTTCATTGCCTCCACCAGCTACCTGTTTTAAATCAAGAAGTTAGATTGTCTCCGTGCTGCGTGGAATTCTAGCCATCAGGTAGCATTTCAGAAAGCCAACTTAAAGTTACACAATCTTAATGTCGGAAAGATTCTGCAGCTGATCCAGTGCAACCTCTGCTACTTCTATACCAGCCCTGGCAGAAGGTCATCCGCTCGCTGCCTAACACATCCCCCTCCTCCTGGCAGGGGCTCCCTGTTCGTCAGTATTAGTACAGGTTGAAAGACTTTCTATGGTTTGAGGAGGAGGGGAAGAATAAGGTGGCTTGTGAGTATTCCCTTTCTGTGGGAGACCTGGTCTTTTCAACCATGCCGTGGAGGAAAACATTAGATCTCAATCTCTGCTTCATGGACGATGAACATATTGTTCTACCATTGAGCCACTTACTGCTGGAAAGCTCCTTCCTTATGAGAGCAGAAATGTGTTTTCCTCTAATTTCTATCCCTCTGTCCTCCGAAATAACAGAATAAGTCAACCTCTCTTTCAGACAACAGCCCTAACCTGCTAGAAGCTGACTAAGATGTCTTTCCGAAGCCCGCTCTTATTTACAGGCCCTGCGGTGAGCTTTCCTAGCCATTCCTCCTGGGACAGGTTCTCGGTTGGGCTCCTCTGGCCACTCTGCTTTATCACCTGTAAATGCTGGTCTCCCCCTTTCTAAATGGACAGAACTGAGTTTTAAATTTAGATTTAGGACTTTACACTTGTTTTATTAAATTTCCCCCAGTGGGCTCTGTAGTGTGAGAAGCAGCAAGCTGTAAGACTGGAAAGAACGTGGAGTTTAGAATCTGCCATGTTTGTCTTCAAATTCTCCCACTGCTGCTTGCCGTTACTTCCTGTTTATGCAGACCAATATTCCATAGAGAAAGAAGCAAAAGTATCTGATAATATTAATAAGTAAGCATTTGACAATGAAGATAACCTCATTCCTTACCACTCAATGTGGCTTCTCCGGCACAAAGAAGACATTTCCTTTATTTTGGGGTCTACCCTTATCTCTAATTGAACGCCTACCTATCACAATTACTGTACTCATATACATATAGATTAGGCAAATAGATGGTGTGGAAGTTTAGATACTTAAAGGTGGATCTCAAAATGAGAAAAAATGAAACTAAAGCTTTTTCATGCTTGAATTTTTACTGCTAATAGAAGGAGCAAAATGTACTATTTGATCATGGAACTTTTCTGATTACAAATGGAAGTAATCAACAGGTTTTGAATGATTACCGACTCTGCAAGTGAAAACTTCACCCTCAAACAGTTTAACTGGTGCTGAAATGGAAAGTTTAGAACTATAAATGCCGCTGCTCAAGGGCGGGAAGCATTTCTCATGATTCTCAGTCCCTTTCACGGTACTTGTTCAAGGAACACCAGATGACTATAAAAGTATTAGATCTTACAGCTTTGTCATTGTTATTGCAAACGTTTCAATCCTTTATGGCCATGATGTTAAAAAGAAACACAACTGATTTGAAAGCAAAGTCAACTCTGTCCTGGAAAAGAAATGAAGGCCAAGAGACTAAACACAATCTAAAGAGGCTGCCTGAGCAGTCAAGGAAATAATCCTTTTTCAACCTTCAAACAGGCAACGTCTTGGCGAACTTATCTGAAGCTTGGGAGAAAGAGAAGTTGGGCTTATTCCTAGATCTGCCACTAGGAGGCGTGCTTCCCTGGCTTTTGTAAAGGGGACGGTTAATTCAGTTTTCACTGGCGATATTAATTGTTTGATTGACAATGATGGGATGTCTTATATAGCTTTGGTAAAAAGTTTACAAATTAAAACTACATTGTCTTACGCTTCCTTCCGTAGAGAATGCAGGATGTACAATATTTCCGTCCACAGGCTGTTTTAGTGGAACCAGTCTGAGTCACCCCAGGGGGAGTCTCGGGGCAAGTAAAGCATACTTCTACATTATCTCTTTGAAAGTGGAATGGGACACAACCTCTGCCAGCTATTTTTTTTTTTTTTTTTGTGAACCATTCTATTAATACCAATCAAATCGAGAAAATGATCAAATGAAATTGCATTTTGAGCATCATAAGCTGTGTAATGTCTATTCTGTTAAATTGGGGCCTATAATTGCTTCTCTACTGAAAAGATACAACAAAGACAGCAATCATGGCTTGTCATTATCCCAGACTAGAAAACCGGCCTTTGCTGGGAGGACTTCAAAGGCTTGTGGTTCTCGAATTGCATTTGGCTGCTATTGTTGAAGCGCAGGCAATCTTGATTAGGTGTTTACACTGAGGTAAGGCGCAGAGCAGAGAGCCTGAGTGCCTGGGTCTAGAGCCATTAAAAGATTGTACATTATGTTCCTTGCTTTGAAGTGAGGGTTTGTAGGTAGGAGAGCAACTCAGACTGAGTACAGCTGAGCTAGATTGGGCAGCTACTTCTCTCTCAAAGAAACTCGTCAGGTTCTTAGAGAATCAGCAGCACACAAAAAAGTTGATGCTTTAGCAAGAGCTGTATGTGAATTAGTGTATTTGCATAGATGCACATTGCAACATGTTTAAATAGCATATTGCCATTAACTTCTGCAATGGCTGGGGGTTTGGGTCCTTTTTCCCTTTATATTGTTTTTTTTTTTTATTATTACTGACCTTATATTTAGATCTTGTGGGGAGTCTCACATTTATTTATTAGGTTCCTTAATCGTATTAACACTTAGCATGTATCCAAATTAAAATAGGCCAAAGAGTCTGCTTTTTTAACGTAGTATTTGCCTATCGTCATTCTGACATAGCCGTTATTTAATCCCCCTCTTAGGAGCATAGTCACTGGATTCAGTGAGCATTTCTGTGTGTTGACTTGGCTAATGAGCGATCTGCAGTGTTAATTCTCTGTCCTGTGTCTAGTACATTTCACTCTGTGTCGGTTTGTGCCCACTAACATCAGCTCTGCGGCCGCCTGTGTGTATCCATGGCCCTCAAAAGCGGCTGGGGCACGACAGTACACAGAGCCTATGTCGTCAGGCTCCGACAGGGACAGTTAGCTCAGCTGTTTAAATTATCTGGGGGATCTGTATTAGTTATTCAGCTACAGACAAAACACATGAAATAGATTGGCTCTGCTGTTGGCCACTTTCTCCATTCCCACAGAACACTTCAGAACATGGATGTGCTCAGTAAGAATTCAATGACACTGACCTTTGGATATAGTATTTTTTACATTAATTTTCCAAATAAGATATTCAAGGTTTTAAAACCCCAAGACTAATTATGTCAGTCATCTACTTTAAAACCTTCCAAGGCTTTCTCATTGCCTTTAATCTTTAAAGGTATATAAGGCCCTATGTCCTCTACTTCTTCAGCCTTGACTTCTTGACTCTTCATTTTTCAGTTCTGCTAGGGCGCCACACACACGATTATTTCTGTCTGTGCGTTGGCCATTCTTTGCCTGGCAACGCCTCTTCACCCCACTTATTCTGACCAATCCCATTTACTGTTCCAGCCTTGGCTGAACCAGGACTTCCTCTGGGAAGCCTTCCCTGACACCCCAGAGAAGGTTACAATTGATGTACCTGGGCACGTGGCCTCAGCACCTTGTACCAAGTACTTTCCCTTTTGTAATAAGCATGACCCTGGTAATTATGTCTGTTTCCCCTCTAGACTGTAAGTCCCAGGAAGACAGGAAAAGAGGGCCACTGTGCAGGGCTGCCACACTGCACAGCTCTAGGGACACTGCTCACACAGCTATGCGGTGGCTCTGAATGTATGACGTGGCTCTGAATGTGCCTGGCACTTAGGTGCTCAATAAATATTACTGAGTGAAAAGATCCATGTGCACTGCTCACTGAGCTCTCCATTTACAGCAGAATACATATGATCTACTTGCTTATCTGGCTAGATTAGTGGCTTATATTAAAGCCAGGTAGCCAACTGTCAACAAAATAAGGTAGAAACTAGGACCTCATCCTCCATGCCTTTCCCTGGTCGCTAGGCCCCCGGCCCACTGACTCTTTGGCCCTTTGCATTTGCCGTTCCCTCTTCCAGGAATGCTCTTTCCTCAAATATTTGCATGGTGAAC